TTACCGAAAATTAAATGCGGATACTATTTATATGAGGTGATCATAATAATCCATTGATTAATTAATTTAGGTATTTATTTCTCATTTTTGATACGTACGAGTTTGTGCTTTAAATTTATTTTTAGATCATTGTATGATCATTCTATGTTTAAAATATATTCATTTTTATTTGTTTTGTATTATTTACTATTAGTAATTAACGGTTTAAAGTTATTATATTTGTTAATTACCTATGATTCAAAATGTATAAAGTTATAGATTGGTTTATCAATTTATAAAATGCAGAGTTTAAATGCTTTTAAATATTTTTAAATACTATGGTGTACATATATATTAATAAATTAGTATATACTCGTATTGTGTAAATAAATATCTAATGTTTAAGTAAGCATATTACTCGTAAATCAATTTTATTTGTTTGGTTTGATTATTCGTCTGATATTTTATAGTATGTACTATAATTGTATGATAAATGGTAATGAGATGTAACTTACCCCTAATTAAAAAAAAAAAAAAAAGAAATTAAATAAGTTAAATTCAAGCTGAATCTTAATAATGTTAAATCTTATGATTTATTTTGTTTTACCGTAAACTATTTAAAATTGGAATATTAATTTGGAATACATAGCTTGGTGGTGAATATTAAATAAATAGATACAATTGTACCTAATGAAAAAATGGTTTGATATTTTTATTGAAATATTTTTTGCCAAATTTTTCGTTATGCAAAATTTTTTATTACATTTTTGTAGGTACCATAAAAATATTTTCTTGAAAATTTACAAAAATGTATTAATATTTGATAAATTAAATTAAGTTTTTTAGTGACATTTTACTATAACTCTTGATTTCTTTCTTCTTTTTTAATTTTTTTTTAAAAGTTTGCATTGCAAATATCTCATTGTGTACACTTTAGGTTTTTATACTCATATATGTAAGAATAATGGTTCTGTTTTCTGTTTATATACGATTATTTAATAAATAAATAATAATAGTATTTAATAAATTCATCGGTCGTATGGTTTTTTATTTGCTTTATTATTTGAAGTAGGTAGTCAGTATTTTAAATATTATTATTATGATCACAAATATATGTTATTAAACATATTCTGAAATTATAATTTTTTTTTTTTAAGCAATTAAAATTGTTATATAACTCGTAAGTCATTTTTCCCATCCATCTCCACTATCTACATACATGAAAAAAAAATGTTTTTATAAACTGTTAGTATAGTATAACAAGTATATCATATGTATTCTGGTGTTCCTTGTATATATATATATATATATATATATATATATATATTCTGATTATACACTTGTGTATATCTTATGCTTTAAAAGTAAACAATCGAATAATAATTAAATCAATTGGATCATGAAAATTAAGGTATTCACTATTGTTTCTTATAACATATTTGTCATCGAGGTATATGATAATTAATTTATTATGATTATTACTTAGTGTAATTTATTAGCTTATTAATAATAATAACTATATTAATAATATAAAGTATATCACTATATTTTATGTAATTAAGAAATGTAATTCAATTGTAGCAAATATCGTTTTTAATCTTAGTAGAACTTTAAGTAAAGTATACTCGTTCTTCTTTAATATAATATATATGGTATGTACGTTGTATATTATATGGTTTATCGGACTCCTTATAGTGCTATGCGTGGTGAGTGGTGTCTGCTACTGTAACGTGAGTGTTCACTGTCGTGCGAAAGTTTTAGATCACGTAATTATGTGGACCCTGTAATGGCAGCTAGTTGTAATCGGGTATATTGGCGTGTTGTCTTTATAGTCTTGAAGAAATGGGGTTTTTTGGAAATAATTAAAGGTGCTGTTCGTACTGGAGGCACATCTCTTATTGTGGTCTCTTTTTTTTTAAAATGTCTCTTGGTGAAGTGACCCTTGTCGTGTATAGGTTCCTGTGACTTTAAATAATACTGTATCGAGTTTTTATGAAAATATGTTTCCTTTGAACAATTTCAGATCTTATCTTTATTATAATTTATTGCATTAATTTATTATACTCTAATTAGATTCAATAAAAAAAAAAAAAAAATAAAAAAAAATAGCTCAGCCCATTGTTTAAGACGTACAGAATTAATTTCTATTTTCTCTTAACTTCTCTCTTATTTTATATTAAGATAATAAAATTCTTAATAGTGACCTTAATGATACTTTAATGTATTACGTACCGGCGCCATACTACAATACAATGAAGTCGATATAACTATTATTTTATTAGTATTCATAAAATAAGTACCGTGTTTTTTTGCGACAATTATTTTTTTTATAAATTATTATATTATTACATTTTTATGAAATCAGTTTAGGCAATATCCTAGTAGTTGTTGAATCAGAGAAATGTTGACGATGTTCAAAACCGTATTGTGGTAGTGACCCCCTGTAATTAATTTGTATATATTTATGATTAAAATAAACGTTTGGTGTTGAGCGTTTGCAGGATGTGCAACTGTACGTAGATTCTCGTTTGTGTGTTTCAAAATGGATGAAAAACAAGGAGAAAACTCGTCTGCAACAGTATCGTGTGTGTACGTTATTGTGTGCACACATTCGTCCGTCCCGCAGTGTTTTTGTCTTGTTTCGTGTAGGAGTCGTGCACGGGCGTGTGTTGTGTGTAAACGCGCGCACGCTGTAATGCTGTGTGTACGAGTGCGTTTACGACGGAATAGCGTCGGCGGTGGCTGCTGCTGAAACCTTGGCGCGGACGTTGTCCTTTATCATCAAGGTCACCTTAACTCTTCCAGAGCCCCCGCCACCCGTCGCTCCGGTTTCTACCTACGGTCGTCGTATTTTCTTTCGTCGTTGTTCGCATGCAAGCCACACGCGCGCGCACACGTTCAATGTGCTGACACTAAATGATGCAGCAGCTCGTGTTGGTTTACACTATTGTGGATATATTCATATATTTTAGTGTTGGTTGGTGACCTAGCGGTCCCTTTAAGATTTTTTCCTTTATACCCAGTGGTGTGTCTGCGTTGCTGCAAAACCGGTTAGGTTGTCGTAATTATATATTATGTTTTCGGTAGATTCGCCAACATCTGGTAGACAACTACCACCACCACCACCACTCTGAATATCATTATTCTGGTGCATCATCGAGTTTGGTTTTGTTTGTCTGACAAAACGTGGTTTTGTGGATTACTATTTCTGGCAATATATAATTTTTTGATCGGTTTTCGTAGAATAAACTGTCATGTATATGGACCCTTCGTTGCTATCATTTTTTCATCTGAAAACTACTGTTGACATTTCTAAATGAATGTGCGTGTATATGTAATGATGATGTCATAAATTATAGTAAAAAAAAAAAATATTAAAATATATAAATTATTATGCATTGAATGATATGATCAATTATTGATAACGGTATTTTGTAAATACCCAATGACTGTTATTTATGGGTGTTCGGAAAAAAAAAATGAATTACTTATTAAAATACACAATTTAAATAATTATTTATTCAATCCCACACTCATTAAACATTTTGGAACTGTTAGAAATGTTTTTTAATATAGACATTTATATGCCACCAAAACCAATACATTTTGCATATATACTTTTTATTATTATTTTTTTTTTGTTGCAAATCCTAGTTTTTATCACTATTTATTGTTTGAATGGTACTTGTCTGTTATCCCTACTACCACGACTACTCAATTCTGTTATCTCGACTACCACGCCAAACGTGTTTGGGGCTCCGCTAAATGGAGAAATAAAAAGCATAGGGGAACCAGACGCCATTATTTGGAGTATTATCTGGCGGAGTTTATAACTAAAGACATACATTGAAAGAGAATTATTCGATAACATATTGAAAAATATTTGCGAAAATTGGTCACCAAAAATAGAATTTTAGACTTATGCAACTGTAACTGTGATCATTTTGATGATTTTTTTGTTTTATATTATAATAACTTTAAACTGCTGTGATGATTTTATGTTTTATACACGATTTAAGATACCTAGTACTATCTTAAATCGTGGTTTTATACTATAACTCTCCACTACTGTGATAATTTATGTGATTACTGATAATAAACGTTATACTAATATACATTATAATATAAATGACAATTCATGACGTGTATTATGTATTAAAATACGGAACTATCTGGATAGTACTAGTAGTAGTAGTCGAGATAACAGAATTAAGAGTCGCGACATCGATCGGTAGTAGGGATAACAGACAAGTACCGTTAGAATTAGTTGGAAGTTGTAAATTATTTTTATTTTATTTTTAAATTATTATTTTCAGTATGATATATAATATATATATTTAAATTATCTAAACTTCTTTAATAATTGATTTTATATTTTGTAAATGGTGTAGGTACCTACTTATAATACATATCGGTAATCTCTTAATGTAAAATCAGAACTTTTTATCAAGGTAATTTTTCAGAAATGTCGAAATTATTCATTAACTATTAATGAAATATTGAAATTATTAATCAAAATCGAAACGGTTAATAACAACGTAATAGTTCAATGTGTTTGTTGATAAAAGCTTTTGTTTACACACAAGTGTGTAGCTCATATGTTAAATTATATTTTAAACCATATAACTAGTATAACTAATTATATTTGGGATATACAGTTAATTTGAATTTTAAATTCTGAAAATAGATTTTTATAAAATATTAATTTTAGTTTAAAAAAAAACAATTTATGTTAGACAAAACTAAAATAATCTTAACCTAATTATTTTATTTATAATAATTCAAATAAATTAAGTTAATAGAAATTTGTTCAATACAATATTGCTTTGTCACATTTTAAATAGGTTATTTTAGACTTTAATTAGGTATTTAGGTATACCTAAAAATTACCAATTAGTTTTAATCAAATTCGATTTTTACTGAATTACTGTATAATATACTATGTGTCTATTGTGTATCTACAATTTTCATTATTGCCTATTTCAAATGTACTATAAAATCACAATATGATTTGCTTCTAGATTGCATCTTCAACTAAGAAATTATGGGGAGTTGAAGAAGGCAAAGAAGATGGACCCAAAGGAATACTCAATTTGAATGACCATCATCACCAAATGTGGAGAGATTCCACTTGGAGTTCTAATAGTAAGTTTTAAATTTCAAAAAATGATTGAAGTCCCATATTCCTAATGAACACCATTATATAAGACCCTTGATAATATCTAAAATACATTTTATTAAAATTCTTTTTTGGTACCTAGTTAAAATAAAAATCGTTAGGACTTAAAATAGTAAATTTTTATAATTTAAAAAGCTAGTGCTGATATTGGATAACGGTCAATATACACTTTGCATTTATTAATTAATGGTATATTGGTATATCACTAATATAAAAACCAAAATTACTTAAACTTTTAATTTCAAAGTAGCAGAAAACTGAAAATTATGGTGTTATTAAATCTTTGAATTTTAAAATTTGAATTTATTTTTATTAATACATTTATTTATATTACTTGAATTAATATTTTAACTTACTTCAAGAACAAAGCTAAATTTATTTTTTCTTATATTTATAATTCTTATATTTAATTCCGTATTTAATATATTCTTAATTTGATGCATATGATTTCATTGTATTATAATATTAAGGTATTATGGCCATCTAATTGCATCGAACATGAGATATGATGTATGTAATGTATTCCAAATCAAGTTTAATGGTATATTTCCTAGTGTACCTGAAGTATGAGGAAAAACCTATCCCTGGCTAAATATATTGTAAATTATATGAAATTAGTCAAAAACAGAACCAGTCTTACCTTCATTTTATGTTTATAGTACTCAGAATACTACATATTGTGTATTATATTTATTAGTTCAAAGATATTTATTACATAATTATTTTTATATTGCCAAATGCAAATTAAACTATAGGAAAATGTTTTAATTGGTGGCGTATAGCAATAAGACATGAAATAAATTATATAGATAATTTTTAATTATTTTTTGTAACCTTGAATATAAATAAGTTTTTTTATTTGTTATTGCTCTAATTGTTATTAATATCTTAATTTTGGTTAAATGTTTTAATTTTTTTAATATACTTAATAAAAATTATTTTTCATTTGAGTTGCTAAATATTTTTAATGAAGTCGAAGTAAAGCCATTGAAGTCAAAACAATGATTTTATATAATCAATATGAAAATGAGACATATAATTTTACATGATCAATATAACTGAGTTACATATTTATATTTCAATACATATTAAGGATACTTATTACCTATATCACCTTAAATTTAAATTAAATAAAAGGTTGCTTATCTTGAATGTTTAATAATTAATGTACTAAAACTTAAATATAACATAGATTGTTATTTTAACATGTAATATTTTTTGTATTGTAAACAATAATGTTGAAAAAAAAAATATTCATAATTTTAATATTGAATATAAAAGATATTATATACCCATTCGTATATATTATCATAATAATAACTATATTACAAACTGAGATACCATTTTGATTACATACTAACAGATCTTTAAATAACAAATATATTATAATTATTGACCTGAGATAATAGTTAATAAGTTATAGTTTATGAATACTTTTATAATATTAGTTTTGTTTATGTAAAACAAAATAAATTGTTTGTATTTTTCTGTACCATGACTTAAAATAAAAACACAGCTATAAATTATAATATTAATAAACATTTTTATTAATGTTAAATTAATTTATTTGTAGCAAGAAGAGGTGCTGGATTTCCAGTAGGCAATGATTCAGGAAATATATTATCACCAAGATCCTCAGAGCCTGGAATTGGTATGAAGATGGTTGAATATGTTTTAGCCAGTACGCCAAACAAAATGGAAACGCTAGAACCTAGAATGAGGAGTTTAGTTATTGTATGTATATTTTAATTTAATTTTTTAGTAAGTTATTAAACTTTTTTTTTTTTTTAGAGCTCCAGCGATGGTGAAACTATCAAAAAGGAGAAAGACAAACCACCTGGTTCTCCTTATGATCCTGTAAATAGCAACAAAAAAGAAATGGAAAATGGAAATTGTTCTACTGTTGTTCAACAAAATGGAATGGTAGTTGTACAAAATGGTTTAGATGAAGATAAATATATCAAGTTAGTGTTGTTGATGTATATTGATGTATTTAATGTCATATAGTTAATTTAACATTTATCTTAGTTGTCTACTTATTTTATTTTTAGTTATTATGATTTATTACTAATACAACTTGCTTTTTAAAATATATATATTTATGTGTGTGTGTGTGTGTGTGTGTGTGTTAATTTGATAATGTATATTAAGAATTAAATCTATTATTAAATTTAGTGTATTTCATATAACTATTGTAGTATAAACTTTAAATTATCATAAATCATTATCACCAATTACTATATTCATAGTTAAAATTCAGTTATGAAAACATCTATTTATAATTTATCATTTATTTTTTATTTATACATATATTTATTTATTTTTTTATTGCTATTAGTTTATTACAATTATTCACATAATTTAATTTGAGAAAGTTCTACAAAAATAGAAAAAATTTTAATCTAAATCTGGGTTGACTCTTTGATGTGTCATTTAAGTCTTCCAGTTATGATTTGTAGTTCAATATGTAATTTAACAGTTAATTATTGCGATTAATTTTTAAGTAAATTAGACATTTTTTTTTTGTCAAACACTTAAATTTTACCAATCATAAAAAGTGGGAATACATATTTTGATAGAATACTTTAAAAAATTTTAATCTAGGAAACTACAGAATTATCAGTCAAAATGAAATTAAAATAAGCCTGTTAGAATATTTTGTATTCATCTTCTTAGTTTCTAAATGAAGATTATTTATTTAGAAATTGATTGGATAGATTTTGCAAAATTCTGAGTAAAACTTAATACTTTATTAAATTAATTGTATGGATCAAATTTTGTTCAAGACAATGGCTAATATAAAAAGATTTTATAATTTAGACTAATTATATAATTTTGTGTATATATTTCGGAGATATTGTAATAACTAGAGCTCGTATGTTAATGACCAAAATTTCATAAAAATATGCTTTATAAAATGTTAAAATATGTAATTATATGCCATAAAATGTATTAAATATATTTATTTTTTCAACAATTATATGAATAAAATAGTTAATATTAATTCAAAAATGTATATACTCTTTTGAATGTGTATTTAAAATTACTTTATTACAAAAATCACAGCAGCTAATAAATATGAAAAATAATTTAAATTAGTTTTCGATCTATTAAAGTTAAATTTTACATTTGTTAAACATTTTAAGTATCAGGATTATATTGTACAACAGTAATTTTGCTGATATTTTCAAACTTGAAGGACCTTTGACAATCCGACAAAAAGTTTTTGTAGACTGAAAATGATACAATTAACGGTAATGATTGATAATTTATAATAATATGAAAAATTTTTAATATTATACTTATAATTTATAAAATAAATGCTACTTAACCTAGAAACGATCAATATATGCATTTATATGCTCAAAAATGTCAAATATGCAAAATAAGTTTGTATATTTACAGTTAAGATATCATGAATTGAATTTATATAATATTGGGGTATAATTCTAGTTGTACAAAAAAAATATGCCAAGTCGTAAACATCCGAGCTCTAGTAATAACCATAGTATAATACTTTTTAGTTCAAAAGTTCAATCTGTTCATCACAAATTAGTTCTTTAAAAAAATCTATTTATTTTTAGTTGTAAATATTAATATTTTTTTTTCATTAATAATATTTTTATTATTTTTAAATGTAAATCATATTGAGATTTCATAAGTATTTAATTTTAAACTAAACTTAAATGGTAATAAATTTGTATTTTTTTTTTTTTTTAATTTGCCTTTTTTCCTACATTACAGCAAATAATTAATTTTTCCCTCAGCAAATTTGAAATATAATTACTCCAAAACATACTTAAAGTAAATACATTTACGTAAAATGTTGTATTAAAATTCAGGTATAACTAGGTATAACTATTTTTTTTTTTTTTTTAATTTGTATGTTATTATTTTATAGTTTTAGCTATAATTATTATTGTAATGCACTGATTTTTTATCTTGTAAATTTTAAAAATTGCTCATAGAACCTAAGAAATATTATTTGTTATTGAAAACTCACTAATGATTCCATTAAGTTAGGAGAAATTAATGTAATAACCATCTGCTCACTGAATTGAAAATATATGTATATTATATAACTCAATTACCTAATTTATTTTTGTTTCAATATTTAGGTTATTTTGTTAAAAGCTTTCAGCAGTTCTTATATTTATAATTTTTTTTTATTTTTTTTAATATTATCATTGATATGTTTATAAAATATTAGGCTTATTTTTTACAAATTAAGCATAAAACTATAATATTTTTCATTAAAAAATTTGATTTGTTTTATATTATTATAGGACGCAGATTATAAAATTATTAGTAACTTTTTTTCTAGCACTCGTATGTATTGTCAAAGAAGTTTTAAATCTGTTACACCAAAATTAGGTTTGCTATTACTATTATTTTTTTTTTTTTAAGAGGTATAATAAGATCCATTCTGCATCTCACAAAAGTAGAATCCAATAATTATATAATAATAATATTTTAACATAAAATAAAGATTTATATTGAAAAGTGAGTATGTGACAGTATATTGTTTCATAACAATCAGTTTATTAATTCCTAATGTTCATCTTAATTTGTTATTTTGGTCAATTATTGCCTTTTTACTACAATAATAACTTTATTCTCATTATAAATAATAATTAACTTAATTTTTATTTTAGAAATTAACATGAAAATATAATCTTATTTGTTATTCATCATTATTATGTTTAGTATAAGTAAATTTATTATTTATTTTTTTATTTTAATTAAACATTTTGAACTTATTTATGTATGTATATTACTAATTTTATGATTTTGTTATAATTTATATTAGATTATTTTATTTACATATTAGTCTTGATAATTTATCTGAAAGCTTTAATTGAGTATAATTCATAAATTTTTTATTTTTTTATACCATAAATAATTTTTTGTTTTTTAAAAACCAATAACCATAAAAAAAATAAAAAAAATTCCCTAAGAAGTTGGTTCAAATGTAATTTTATTAAGTTAATAGATTTTACTGAATAGATTTCTCTATTCAAAGGAGTAACTCATCAGTAGATAGAATTCAGTTGAGATTATTTATGAAGCTATTTCTATTGGTAAATAAACTACAATTTAGCTATTAATTACAAAACTATATTTGTTGTGGTAGGGATGTGGCATAACTCTGTGTATTATTTAATTAATGTGTTGTCAACTTTGTTACTGGAGTTATAACTTTCGTTAAATAAAACTATAACTAGTGTTTTATTTAAATATGATTATTATAATATCTATTATCATTATGTAATTGTATAGTATTATATTATCCAGATTTTTTAGAACCAATGTAACCTCGCACTGAAATCTTAAAATTATATTTAATTAATTAATCAACCAAATTTATCATATAAATATTGTATTCATGTTTGTAAATTATTACATTTAAAAATTAATTCAATTATTTATATATATATATATATATATATGTAGCCTAATAAAATAAAATTATTTATAACTAAATAATGTCTTGTTCTACTGATATTAAAAAAGAAATCAGTTTAACTTAATGCATGGATGAAAAGCTTAGATTGTAGTAAATTAAATTTTTTAATGTTTTTACTCTTTTTAATTGTTATTCTTAAATATATTTTTAGTTAACGGTTTAAAATTATGAATTAGTATTGATGTTAAGTTAATAGTACATTATATATAGTACTATATGAATTATAAATGTATACTACTAATGTGTTTTATTCTTGATTATAAATACAATTAATTACTGATTATTTAAAAAAATACCATGTATTTTATTATATATTTATGTATTATTTATATTCTCATTAAATTATTTTTGTGGAATAGTGTATTAAGTCTTAAATTTAATATGTAATTTAATTTTTTTATAATTTAATATTAATTTCAATTTTATGTTGTTTTAGTCGTCAAGCGTCACCTAGCGAAGAAGAAATTAACAAAAATGCTATGAGTGCAGTTTCTGGTAATCAAGTTGCTAATGCTGGTACCAATAATGTTGTGGTTATTGACAATTTGCATGGTGCTTTACATCAAGGACAATTAATGAATCATCATCATCATGGAATGACTATGCCTTTACACCAACAATTCCAAGTGCAAGGCGATCCACAGCAAATGGATATGAACTCTTACCATGCCAGCAATGCTCAGCAACAACAGGGTGCTATTGACTCACAAGGAAATGTTATGACTCCATTTGATATACAGGTATGTTTCATATTATTTTTATGAAATTAGTTCAAAATATCTCTTAACCAGTTACAATAATATTTGTAACTTTTTCTTGTATTTTAAATTATTAGTATGATGTATCAACCATAATACTAAATTAGATTTTTAAACTTGAGTATTAAATATAATATTTATTTTTTTTAATTGTTAATGAGGATTTAAGTTAGTTGAGTTGTTACATCGACTATTAATTAATATATTTATTGTATTCACATTTACACTAAATCATGGAAAATAATGTAAAGATTATATTATTTTGTTTAAGTTAATTATTTTACAACATATTAATGTTCTACATTATCATTATAAAACCTATGTAGTTATTTTTAGGAAATTATTCTTTTTAATTTAATATTTAGATTTGTGATTTAATTACTTAAATTAATATTTAAAATTTATTTTGGTTTAATTTTATTCTTAATACTTACTTTCTAAATTCATGATGTATCGCATGATAATTAACAGGGTTGATAATTTTTTTTTTTTCAAAATCTCGTGTAAAATGATCGATGGTGATTGTTGGGTAAAATATTAATGAGTTGTAATTAATTTAAACATGTATGGAAAGTTTTTATTTACATGATATAATTTTCCATACTTTTTAGTTATAAAGTATTGAGTGTTTTATTTTCTTACATCATGCAATATTTAAAAGTAACTGAAGGATTAATTTAAAATGTATCCATCTTAATTTAGATTTTTTCTATAAGAGTATCAAAATAATAAAATAATTGACTAGAAATGAAATAATATTTTTGATTCTGAATTAAGCAAGTTTTGAATAAATTTTCTATATTTTGTTTAGTTTTTAGATTATTTTGAAAAAAAGCACCAAAAGTTACATTATCTTTTTAAGTATCTTTTAAATAAAATAGATTAAGTCTATGAAATTAAACATTTATTTCTTAGTTTCCTTTACAGAAAAGCCATATAATTGGGTAGTTTAAAAAAATAAGTGAATATGAAATTTAAATTTAGTGTAAAATTAATTTTGCTTATTCATAATATTATTATTAATATAGGTATTACTTTTTAATTTATTCTTGGTAATGTAACAATATTAAATTCTATTGAATATCTGAATTCTTACAATTTAGTAATTGTTTTAGTTTGAAGTTATTATGTATTTGATTTTTGTATTATTTAAATATTTTTCTAAATATTTTTCAATTTAAATTACTTATTACATTATTTTTTGGCATTTTCTCGATAAATGTGCCAAACATTATATATTGTGCCAATGTGCATTTTCAATATGTACATAAATATGTCAGACATCACACTTTTTGTTGCCAGGATAGTATTAAATATTTTGTAGTTAAGTGTAATAAAAGGGAGAAAAGACAGAAAATGTGTTGGGCAATTTCTTTCTGATAAAAATAGTAAAATGTTTTATATTATTTTTATGGGTTGCATATATATATACATTATAATTATGTTGGCTCCATCTTTGTTGAGATTGTTACTGCTGATAGTCATATTTTCAAATAATTCTGTTTTATAGATAGTAGTTTTTTTTTTACAAATTTTCTCATATTCAGCACTTTTCTAAATTTCCAAAATCCAGTTGCTTCTTTAATTTATTGTACTTTGGCATTTAATTGATATTACTTTTTAAAAATATCTAAGAATAAAGTGAAAAATGGTAATATGTTTGCGGTATGATTTCAATTTGGCTTTTTGAAATTGTTAGTAAGTGGTAAAATATATTAGTTGGTGATTTATTTTCAACTAGATTCATGATGAACACCTTTTTTAGTCTTGGAAATTTTTTGGTAAATTTTTATTAATTGATTTATAATTAATAATATTTAAATATCATAAATTATATAAATTTATATTGCTAGTATTTGTATTAACTAATAAATTCATTACATATTTACATTTTTCTTTGAAGATCTATTTATTTATTTTCCAAGTATATGACTGTTTAATTTCTTTTAAATATTAATTCATGATACAATAAAAATTTAATAAGATTATTGTTTTTGGATTTACCTAAAAGTTATATAATATGTATTATACGTTTTCATTTCTACTAGATTTAATATGTTTTAAATATAAAAGTATACAATTGCTTCTTGCAATAATTTTCGCCTTATACTTAAGTGAAATTACTGCTTATTTATAACTAGAATGATAAGTAATTAAAAATAACCTCACACACAGTCATCTGTTATCTGTTATTAAGAAAATGAAGTGAAGAAATATTTTTTGATAAGGTACATATTTAGAAATGCCTTGAAAACAGATTTTTACTTATTAGGAAAAAAATTTCTATTAGTTGATTATGTGTAATTTGACTACCAATGACATTTTATACTTATAGAGTTACTATTTATAGTTTTAAATTTTTTACATTAAATATATTTTAAAAAAAGTTGTATATGTGCTGGGGAAGATTTATATTTATTGGATCATATGTTTTAAACTGACACTGGTCGACGCAAGTGTTGGCTGTACATAAGGGATGCTTTAAATTGCTGTTATTAGATGGATAGACCCCGCGAAAAGTGATGAACATCAATCTTTATTCTGTGTGATGGATGAAATTACAGGTCAAAGAATTGATAAGTACTTCTTATTTTTTTCCATGTCAAACACAAGAAATCACTAATGAAGTCCATATATATTAAAGTCCTTATATATTAAAGTTGTATTTGTACTGATTCGGTTCTTAATTTTAAAATTTGTTGAGATATTTTTTTCTTTTATAAGAAAATAATGTTTAAACAAGTAATTTATTTGTAATTATATTTTTAGATATGTTGTATTGTAATCATTTTTTGTTCTACCTTTATAAACTTCTTTTTTTAATTTTTTTTATTAATATTTTGCTTTAAAATTAACTTATACTTTTGGAATTTTATGAGTTTTTATGTACTTAGTACAAACAACTTTTTAAAAATTCTTGAAGTCAGGTATATCAGGGCTACTATTTTTATTTTATAATTATGCTAATTTTGTAATTAGTAAACGAGATTAGGGATGATGAATAACATTTTAAATAATATAGTTAAGTTATAACTTTTGTTGTCTGGTGTATTTTTATTAGAAACTATAAATTATAAATTACATAACCGAACTTAGAGTTACTAAATAGTTTTTAAATTATTTAATTCGTGCTTAAATTTTAGAAAAATCCATTAAGTATTTAAAATTTCTCTATTAGCATTTATTAACTTATATAATTAATAGAAAATAGTTCTGTGGTATTTATTCAGTTATGAGTTTAATAGTACACTAGAATATTTTTACATTTCCTATAATTTTGATTAGGGACATGGAAGTTGGAAATATAGGTATATTGTCGTTGTCACTGGATTGCTGCAATAAGTGCCAGAAGAAAAGTTAATCCCCCCAATATCTTCTATTTATTTAAATGCTTCGGAAGATATCGCTTACAATTAAATTTTTATTTTGTTAAGTATCATGCTCAATTTGATAATTTCCAAGTTATAACATTTAGATTAGAACTTAATTTGATTTTTTGATTATTGTAATAATTGTTTATTTAGTGTGATGCCATCTGTTTCACTATCATATAACCCTTTTAACATATAGTGCTATATTTTATATTATTTGATGTATTAAATTGGGAAAACCATAGAAAACTATATCCTCATGGCGTATATGGTCAATCTGAAAAATATTTTTATTTTTCATAAAATTGTTTTCACTCGGCGACGAAATAAACCACTATACTCAATTTTCTTACGCATTTGTTTTGTTTTAACGGGTTTATAGTTATATAAGTGTCCAAAGTTTAATTGTTACACATTAAATCATACAGTAGTTTACGAGAACTTAAATCACAGCTCTAACGAGGGGAGAAATATGTTTGGCCGGTAGTTACGATAGGGGAATTATTGTGTTCAGCGGTTTTCGAAAACTATTGTGTAATTGAATTTTCCTAGTGTATAGAGCAACACCGACTTCTTCTCTCAGGAACATCGGTTTTCGCAATCGCGGCGGTGGCAGTTTCCTCTTTCCTCTTACTGCAGTATCTCACATTAATCTCTGTTGACGACGATGACGGCGTCGGTGCATGTGTAATGTTATAGCGATTGTGGAGTGGCCGCGGTGGTGATATGTATGTACATCATTGATGCGTGGTACTGCGAGTGGGCGTGTAGTGAGTGGATGGGACAGGCATACGTACTTATCGCTGCCAATTAGAAAGTGTGCGTGCGTGCGTGTATGTGTGTGTGTGTGTACGTCGGTTATCATGTGGAATCCGGCGGTGGCGTGCGCGATGGGGATATTAATAGAGATAAGATATTGCCGTCTCCGAGCGCCGTCGTCTTGTTGGCACGCGCAGACCGGGTGCAAACGTCGCCTCCGTGGTACACCTTGACTGTGCACTTCTCCGGCTTGTTGTCGGTCGGCCAGATATTTTCCTTGCGCACCTTTCTGCATCGTTTAAAAAAGTGTTACTAATAATAAAACTACTACGGTGATGACGAAGGATAAAGAGTGTGTGGAAGTTGAGTATGTGCGCAAATGAGTGCGCGAGCTAGAAGAAGACCGAACGAATATCGTATGTGAGAGGCGGGGAAAAAAAATATTTACAAATCTTCGAGATCGGACGCTATCGCCGCGGCTGCCGTTAGCCGACGTCGATCAATCAATGTCGACCCAAATACCAATAAAAACTACGCACAGGGTGGATAAGTCGGATTAGATGTCCGTGGGCATGCGTGTTTCGGGACGAGTTCATTTTTATTTTTTTCCAACAAACATCACTACAACCCCCGTTCAAGGGTTTAATTTTGGCTTACGATTTCCTGTGTACAAATTAATACGTGACTCGACAATTAATCCATGCTTGAAGTTAAATATAGCATTTATAAAATAAATAATTACAAAATTGTTATATAATTTCAATTTAAAAGTAAAAAGATTGTATTCATTTTAAATATCGATAGAACAAACAAATAAGTTGAGTAGGTTGTTCACGTAGAGGTGGTGAATTA